GGGCGAACCTGGGCACTCCCACACAGGAGTGGGAGTCCTGACTGTATTTATTTATTTCAGATTTTAAAAATTTTTTATTTTTAAAGATTTATTTATTTTTATTGGAAAGTCAGATATACAGAGAGGAGGAGAGACAGAGAGGAAGATCTTCCGTCCAATGATTCACTCCCCAAGCAGCCGCAACTGCCAGAGCGGAGCTGATCTGAAACCAGGAGCTTTTTCCAGGTCTCCCACGTGGGTGCAGGGTGCCAAGGCTTTGGGCCATCTTCGACTGCTTTCCCAGGCCACCAGCAGGGAGCTGGATGGGAATCAGGGCTGCTGGGATTAGAACTGGTGCCACAGGGGATCCTGGCGCGCACAAGGCGAGGACTTTAACCACTATGCTATCGTGCCGGGCCCTATTTTTAAAGATTTATTTATGCTCATTGGAAAGGCAGATACACAAAGAGAAGGAGATACAGAGAGAAAAGATCTTCCATCTGCTGATTCACTCCCCAAGTGGCTGCAACGGTCAAAGCTGACCCCTTCTGAAGCCAGGAGCCAGGAACTTTTTCTGGGTCTCCCACACGCGGGTGCAGGGTCCCAAGGCTTTGGGCCATCCTTGACTGCTTTCCCAGGCCACAAGCAGGGAACTGGATGGGAAGTGGAGTATCTGGGACACAAACCCCATCGCCCATATGAGATCCCGGCATATGCAAGGTGAGGACTTCAGGCACTAGGCTATTGTGTCCCTGACTGTATTTTGAAGCACACGTTTTCCATGATGCCTGGCACACAGTTCCAGAGACAGGATCTGTTGGTAAATTAAATCACTTCCGATGATACTCTGCAGTCTACACAAACATCAGCTTATAGCTGCACCTGCCCGATGGAGATCCTTTCATTCATGGCAGGACAGATAATTGTTTCATGCGCAGTTGAGAGAACTGACCTTTTAGGATCAGAAGAGAACCGCGTTTGAAGTCCCTGGATCAGCACACCAACAATGCAATAATGCAAGTACATGGTGAACCTAATTTTCCTGCTGAAAGGGGGAAACAGATTACAGGTTTTTTGAAATCAATTCAGTAGGTTGTGAGCTGCACTGCTTTTAAAAATAGAACAGAAAAATGCCTGTGTGCATTGCAGATGAGAAGATAAAAACTGTTTGATAGAACTTTGGTTTCCATTTTACCTCCCTGTAAGTACAGATGGAGAGCAGATACCCCAAAACCTGATGGCCTTTCACAAGCTCATGGAACAGTAAGTAAAATGTTTACTTTCTCACACAAAAAATGTTAAAGTTCCAGCATATCAAGAGGTCTTTGAAAAATTTACAGAAATATATCTTATGAGGAAAAAAAAACAAGCGCACATGAATTTCCCAAAGTTTTTGCACCACAATAAATGTTGCCTTTTAAAATTCCCTTTCTCTGAGATATTTGCAAATCTCCTTGTATTTCTTACTGGGTTGCTGCTAAGGAAATCAAATAAACAAAAAAGCAGCCTTGATTTTAGTATAGCTTGCTTTTAGAGTTACATACTTTGAAATCTTCAGGTCTCCCCTTTCTGGTAACTGGCCAGAATTCTACCGACTGCCTTTCTGGTAAGCTGCAAGCATGGCACACAGCGTTTCTGTATCTCCCTCACCCCTTCTCGTGTGCCAGGGACCTCATCTCGAATCTGTGAGGGACCCACCCCATCCCCCACCCCCGCCCCAGGCTCACCTGGCTGCTATTCAGCAAAATCCAGACTTAGCTGTGGCTTTCACCGGTTCTTCTTTGCTCTGTTCCAGGATCTCGTCCAGGAGGCCACCTGGCACTCAGCTGTTGTCTCTCCTCTAACCTCCCGGATCTGTGGCAGCTTTTTGTGTCTTTCCATGACCTTGACATGGAGGAGCATGTCAAGCAGGAGGACGAGCAGCAGGAGCGGCCCCGCTACGGTATTATGCAGAATGTTTCTGCCGCTTACACTGGGATTAGGGGGTTGGGACAACACACGATGCAGGCAGCACCCTCTCTTGACGTCCCCTTGGCAGAAGGCCTAGGACAAACTGAAGATGCCAACTCCTATCATAGAGTCACGGTACAGTCGGCCAGGTGTTTCTGTGTCGAGCTGCCTAAAAAAAAAAAAAGATTAATTCACTTTATTGAAAAGGCACATCCACAGAGAAAATCATATACACAGAGAAAAGCTCTTCCATCCACTGGTTCACTCCCCAAGTGGCTGCAACAGCCGAAGCTGAGCCAATCTGAAACCAGGAGCCAGGAGCTTTTTCTGGGTCTCCCATGTGGATGCAGGGTCCTAAGGCTTTGGGCCGTCCTCGACTGCTTTCCTATGCCACAAACAGGGAGCTGGATGGGAAGTGGAGCAGCTGGGACATGAACTGGCACCCATGTGGGACCATGGGGCTTACAAGTTGAGAATTTTAGTCACTGATTCGTTGTGCTGCACTCATCAAGTAGCCATTTTTAACCCTCCCCATGCTCACCTCTTTTGAAGCCCCTAAGAGCAAAATACTTACAGGTAACGGTCAACAGGAGTGATTGTGGCAGTGCTGGTCTTGAACTCCATGTTCGAGAGGGCAAAGGCAGCCACACTTATTACTTGCATGTTTCCTATAAGAAAGAGTTCTCTTCTCCAATTATTGAGTTATTCAATAATATCACTATATATCAAATACATTTATTTTATGCTCTGGTTATTTATTGTATCTTGCACACATGTGTGGTGGGTATCCAGTGGTTGTCTATACCCCACTCAGCCTCCCTGGGGGCAGCACTGCTTTCCCTCCAGGGCCAACCCCTCCACCTGGGCACCCCCTTTAGGACCACCTGCACTTTTTCCCGTCCTCTGCCTTGGTTCCCATCACTACCTGCCTGGGTTTGACCCAAGAGGACAGTCACATCTCTTGACCCTTAGAGGACCCTCCTTGGCCTGGCTCCAGCCTCCTGTTGCTTCATTTCAGGCTTCTTATGAGGACAGCCTTCACTGACCATCTCCCTTGAGGACAGGGGATGGGAGCTTTTCCAGGGGAACAGGGTCACCTACCTCAGTTTCTACAGCAGCATCTTGGGAGGGGACTGAATCTTCCTCAGCCGAGGGAAGATTCCAAAGAGATGAAACACAGGCAGCACAGACTATGCCAGGAGTGCCAGGGTCCTGCAGTGCGGGAGCCAGGAGCCAGCCTGGACCAAGTGAGGGGCCACTGCCTGAGGCAGGGGAGGCAGAGCCAGAAGTGGTGCAGGGGGAGGGGTGGAAAAGAGGGATGTCCATGTCCACAGCTTGTCTGATCCATCCCTCCTCTCTTCACCTTGCTGGAGGTGAGAGCTTGCATCCCAAGGGGACAGACAGGCATGTTACTCATAGGGCATTGAACTTCACACCGGTCCACACTCTCAGCCAGCCCAGCTCCCCGCCAGTCAGCCGTGTGCAGCAGCTAGGATGATTCACCGTCCCACCTGTGCCTCCTCCTCGCCTCTTACCAAGGCCAAGGCTTTGCCATGGCGTGCCTTGTCCTTCAGGGGACAGGAGGGCACGCTGGCGGCTCAGGAGCTCCGGATGAGGGAGGGCTGTCACTTGGAGGCCCTCTGAGATGGTGACTTCTGCTTCTCCCTCTTCGAGCAAAGCCGGCCCCTCTCCTTGACACACCTTGCTGGACTCAGTCTTAATCCTGGTGATTCAGCCCAAGAGAAATCCACCTCCTCTAGTAGGGGCCTCCAGCCCCAGTTGTGGCCCAATCCATGGGCTTCTTCATGGGTTCAGCAAATGCTTGTGGGGCACTCGCAGGGGGGGTGTAGGCAGTGGGCGGGGAGAGAGGGGTGGTGCAAGGAAGTCGGTCTCCTAAGAGCATGCACCTGCATCTGGGAGATTGCACAGATACCAAACCCCCTGCAGCGAGGGTGTCCACAGGGACGCCCATTACGGTGGCTTCAGGGCCTCGGGTCTTCAAGAAGGGAGAGTTTAATTGGGATTTGAAAAAGCAGCCATGAACCAGCCAAGGGACCTGGAGTCCCAGCCCAGGGAAGTTCTTCCCCGGCCAGATGCCAGGATGCAGAAGGGCGCAAGAGAGGGAGTGGGCAGACAGGTTGGAGAGGGTAGTGGGGCAGGTGCTGGCGGGCAGGCATGCTCTGTTGGCTTCCCCCTGGTAGTGGGAGCAAAGCACTTGGGGGAAAGGATGAAGCAGTTCCTGAACACAGAGATGAGAAGGCGCTGGCTACACAGTGAGGTCATGGGAGGTCAGCAGGTGGCCGCAATGGTCCCAAAAGGGATGCAGAGTTATAAGCTGTGCTGAGAGGCCAGGTCCGTGTGCGCAGCAGCAGGTGGTTCTGTGGCAGGCAGGTGGGCGTGGAGGGGCACCCAGGAGAAGGCCAGGTTAGTCCCAGCGCCTGCCTCAGCCAGAGAGGTGGGGCCTGCTATGTGGAAGGGGATTAAACAGACTGCTCTACTAGGCCCCTTTCAAAGCCTTGCACACCTCGCGCCCCCTCCCCAGTTTGGGCGCTCCCTGTCTTATCTTTACTCAGCACACCTGCACGGGGGGGCGGTACCGCATGAAACCTAGCCCGAGAAGGGGGCAGGACAAGCACGCGGGCGAGCTTCCAGGAGGGTCCAGGCCATGCCCTGCTCAGCCTCGGCTCTACTCTGAACTGCTGACCTTAGCACATCACTTCCCCCTCCTCACCGACCTCGGTTCCCTCACCTGCAAACCAAAGGCAACCTCTCCACCTCCCCGAAGTCCCTGCCAGCTGCTAGCAGCACTTCCAGCCTCGCTCGCCCGCAGGACGCTCGCCGCTCTGCGCCACGCCCCGGGGGTGGGCTCGGTGCGAGGCGCGCCCACGCGGGCCGGCCGGCGCCCTCGCACGCGCCGCCGCCTCCACCGCCGCCGCGCTCCTAGCCTCCCCGGCCGGCCCGGGGCCCGGGGGTTACGTAAGGAACCCGGGCGGGGAGCCGGGCCCGGAGGGCGGTGCCCGAGCGCGGCCGCCCAACCCTTGGCGGCCCAGCCCCCGCCCGGTCGCCCGCCCGCGCCGAGCGGCGGCAGAGGCGGCAGAGGCGGCAGGCGAGCCGCGCAGCCCCGCGGAATGGAGCGGCGCCGGGGCTGAGCCGGGCGCGCACGGGCGCCGCATGTGCCGCGCGGGCAGCGGCTGCCGACCAGGCGGACTGCGAGCGCCAGAGGCCCCGTCGAGAGCGGCCGGACAGAGCAAGCGCCGGAGATGGGGTGAGTGAACCTGCCTCGGCGCGCTCCCCGGGACCGGCTGCCGGGCCGAGACCCCCTGGGCGGCCGGCCAGCCCTCCAGCCTCTCCCAACCGGGAGCGAGCGCGCAGCCGGCGCCGAGAACCTGGGGCCGCCCACCCCGGCCTGGCCGCCGCGAGCCCCGGGCCCTTGTTCCCCTGTCCCCAACCCGCGGGGCGCGGGGACACCTGGCGGGGAGAGGCGCTGGGCGGCCTCAGAGCCTCGGCCGTTCGGTGCTCCCCGAGGCCATCAACTCCGGGGCCTGTGTCCGGGGAGTGGGAGACGGAGAGGCAGTCAGTGGTTCTCCACGCTTGGGCTTTATTGCGAGCGACATGGAAATCGAAGTTTTCCTGGAAAGGGAGCACAGCGGATCACCCCAGCGCCCCGGCGCGGGTTCTGAATAGTCTGGAGCTGGCCGGGGTGGTGACGATCGCCGGGGGAGAGGGAGGCTTCGGGCTCGGAAACAGCTGGACAGGTGCTTCGGGAGGGAAGTTGAGGGACTCTGGGCAAGTGACTGAAGCTGCTGGCAGAGGCAGGGTGGATGACTCCTCGGGGCCGCCCCGGGCAGTAGGTACCGCGGGCTCCCGAGTGCTACTCGCACTGTGGAACTCATGGGAGCGCGCGCCGCTGGCTGTCCGCTTCACACTCAGGCCCCGGCTGGCTGCTGTGCCCACTTCTCTGGTGGGGAAACTGAGGCCTGACGGAGTTCGGTGAAGAGGAAAGCCAAGGCTCTAAGTAGTTGGGTGACTTCCCCCAGGACGTGGAGGGGGGGTGTTTAGTGCGTCATCAGCCGAGCCAGGGCCACCCACCCACCCCACCCACGGACTGTGTGCCGTCCTGGGTCTCTGATGGGAAGACGCCAAGACTTAATGCTTGGTGGGGCTTGAGCCACGGGCCAAGGAGCCCTGTGTGTGTGGGGTGGGCGGGGGGGGGGTACACCGCATTTGGAGGGACCAAGAGGCATTTTTTGATGGGAAAGGGTGAAAGCCCTGGAGTCAAGTGATGAGAGGGCGGGGCCGGGGAGGTAGAGAGGGGTGAGGACCTTGGTGAAAGGCAATGCCACCCAGGCAGCATGAGGGGGCACCCCAGCTGGGAAGCAAGTTTTCTTTCTTTTTTTAACATTCTCTGTAATTGATGGGTCAGGAAAGGACCCCTTTTGGGGCCCTGGGCACCTTGGAGGCCCTCAGTTATCAACACTTTAGAAAGTGCTCCGAGAAAGAAGGGGCAGCAAGGGACCTGGTGATTTAGGTTTCCTGCTGGCGTCCCCTCCCCACCCCCCTTTGCCCTCTCCCTGCCTGGCCCACACGGAAGCCACAGAAGCAAACACTGGAATTCAGAGGTTGAGAGCAAAGAGTTCCCTGCTGTGAAAGTGTGTGCTCTTAGGAATTGAAATAAAATGTCAGGAAAAAAAAAATGGCTTGTGTTTGTGGAGGAGCCGGAGGGACAGCCTGAGGGTGTGGGAGGGGAGCTTTTGGTTAAACTGGCTTTTATGTCATTTTTATATTACTCCATAAACGTGTGTTCCTCACCATTTGCGGGAGAGGTCTGGCGTGGAATTCCTACCCACCCCTGCCATGTTGAATCTGTCCACCGCCGCTAGAATGTGAGTGAATGAAAGAGGCGTGAGGGGCAGCAGGAGCCTGCGGCTGGAGGAGGGTGGACCCAAAATAGAAACAGTGGCATGGGGCTGGAGGCTGGGGGAGGAGGGCCAGCCAGGAAGGGACAGCCAGGAGGGAACCTTGCTGTGACGCCTGCTGGCTTTGTCCGGCTACGCTGGATAAGGAACCCCCGCCTGCCTGTGTGAGGCTGTCCTCTCCTGAGATGCCTGCACTGCCCGTCAGGTGTCCATGCTAAGTGTGTGGGCTCACGCTAAGTGTGTGGGCTCCGGGAGTTTGTGCTCAGCTGTTCTGTGCTCCTTATCTTTCTCAGAGTCCTCTTCCCCTCCCCACCCCCATCTCTTGCTTCTCTTGTAGTGACTGCCCCTCCAGCCTTCTCTTCCTCACCTGTTTGTGGGGAGGGACCAGCTCCCCTTCTCATTTCCCTTTGCCAGCCTCCACACTCTGCAGGTGCTTTGGCATCTGTGTGTTCTGGTGTGGCAGCCAGCAGCCACGTGTGGCCACCAGGCACCTGCCTCTGTGGCTTGTGTATGACCAGGGGTCTCTTAACTTCTGACATTTTTTATTCATTTCTTTCTTTGAAAAGCAGAGACAGAGAGACACAGAGAGAAACAGAGAGAGAGAGAGGGAGAGAGGGAGAGAGAAATCCTCCATTAGTTCACTTCCCAATGAATGGCCGGGCTGAAGCCAGGATCCTGGAACTCCATACGGGTGTACCCATGGGTGCAGGGGCGCAAGCACTTGAGCTCTCACCTGTTGCTGCCTTCCCAGGTGCGTGAGCAGGGAGTCGGAACAGAAGAGGGGCAGTCAGGATCCATAGTGACATTCTGATGTAGGATGTGCCACACGAGGCTGGTACCAAGTTTTCACACCTTACCCAGGAGCTCTCTCCCAGCAGCCTGAATCCTTGCCCTGCTTCTGGTCTGCCTCACCGACAGCCATTCCCCTGGAAACACATGTCCAAACCCAGTGTCTCCATTCACTTGTGTTTCCTCCCATCTGTCTCTCTACTCACACCCCTGCCCTTCTCTGCCCTCACCCCGCTTCCCCGCTCAGGGAAGTCCTCGGGAGCTTCTCTCTCCGCTCCTCTGGCCCCCACACCATTTCCTCGTGGCTCTTGGTCTGCCTCCTTGTGGGTTGCCCCTCTGCAGATGGACTCCAGTGGGTGGGCTTGTCTGACTTCTTTCTCTGCCAAGTCTCTCTTCCTTGGGCAGAGTGCCAGCCCCAGCCCCGTCCTCTACCCCGGAACTCTAAGACCATCCGTGGAAGTGGAGAGTTTGAAGGGTCCCGACAAGGAGAAGAGATAAACATTGCAGGAGGTGCCTCCCATCCCATTTGTTCATCACGTGATGTGCACATGTAGGATCACACACTGCACCCCATAAATCTTTTTCCTTATGTGCCAACTTAGAAGTCACCAGGAGAAAATTAAATACCATCTACGTGCTGATGACTCCTTGCTTTTATTATTATTATTTTTTACCAGAGACCTTTTTTGGGGCTCCTGGTTCTTGTCCATACAAGGAGCTCTTTTTCTAAAAAAGGGTGGGGGTGGGGGCTCAGTACAGTAGCCTGTTAGCTAAATCCTCACCTTGAACGCGCTAGGATCCCATATGGGTGCTGGTTCTAATCCTGGCAGCCCCATTTCCCATCCAGCTCCCTGCTTGTGGCCTGGGAAAGCAGTCGAGGATGGCCCAAAGCCTTGGGACCCTGCACCTGTGTGGGAGATCTGGAAGAGGCTTTGGGCTCCTGACTTCGCATCAGTGCAGCTCTAGTCATTGCAGCCACCTGGGGGAGTGAATCATCGGATGGAAGATCTTCTCTGTCTTTTCTCCTCTCTGTATATCTGAGTTTCCAATAAGAATAAATCTTTTTTAAAAGATTGTAAAAAATATAAAGATACATATTTGTTGAAAGGCAGAGCAAACATATACACACAGAGGAAGAACAACAGAGAGAGAGAGAGAGAGAGAGAGATAGAGAGAGAGAGAGAGAGATATTCCATCTGTTGGTTCACTCCCCAAATGACCGCAACACCCAGGGCCAGGATCAGGACAAATGCAGGACTCCATTGGAATCTTCCCACATGCGCAGCAGGAACCCAGGTCCTGGAGTCAGCATCCACTGCCTCGCAGGTGCATGTGCTTAGCAGGAAGTAGATCAGAGGCAGATGCTGGCCGTGATCATAGGCCTCTGAACTGCAAGGTGGGTGTCCCAGCTGGTGGCTGAGGCCACCGTGCTACAGCGGCAGCCCCCACACATGAAGGTCGTCAGGTTCCTCACAGGTGCCCCTTTGCCTCCATCCTCTTTGCCCGGCAGTGGCACCCCCACCTTCCACTCCTTTGCTGTCTGTCCTGTGGGTTCTACTTCTGGGCCTTATCCCAGGTGCACCGCTTCCCCTCCCCCAATCCCAGCTCCCACTCTGGGTTGTTTCTGTCCCTTCTCTCCACCCAGATTGTGTCCCTGTGCTCGACCCCTCTTCAGTAGACAAGCTTCTGGCCCAGGCCGTGCTCATGTCCTCACTTGTTCTACCTATGCGTCCCCCTGCTCCTCCTCTTTTATGGCCTGGCCCTACAGATACCTTCCTTCTTCCCTTCCCCCCCAAATTTGGGCATCGGGGTCACCCGTATTCCCAAGCACCTGCTCACGCTTTCCCACGGTTGCACAGCTGTACCCGTCTAGGCTCCGTGTGCCAGTGCTCAGTCCTCTGCCCTGCATGTTAGCTGAGGTGGGCGGGGCTTACCACGGCATCCGCCACGTTACTGCTGGGCTTCCTTTCATGAACACTTGTTTGCTCCGGCCAGGATTACCTTGCAGTGTATAAATGCCACAATCTGGGTGATCTGACACTGCGGGCCGCCTTTCAGTAATCCCACACCAATCCACTTTCTTCAGTGTCCATTCCTTCTTTAACTTTCCACTCGTCCTGAATCACACCGCACTGTAGTTTCTGCAGACAGCAGGACTGGAGTTTGTTTTCTTTTTTTTCTTGGGAGGATTGACTTGAGTCGAATACAAGAGCACTTCAGAGCGTCCGTGGAGAATGCCTCTTGCGGAAGAAACAGCATGCATTTCCTTTTCTGAAAACATTTTATTTGAAAAAGATGGGAAGGGAGCGGGAGGGAGGCAGGGAGAGTGAGCCAGTGTGAACTCCAATGGCAGTTCGCTCCACCACAGTGGGGCCGGGCTAAAGACAAAAGCTTGGATATCAATCGAGGTACCTCCCCCGCCCTCCCATGGATGGCAGCAGTCCAGCTGTTGGAGCCAGCACCTGCTGCTTCCCATCATGTGTGTTAGAAAGAGGCTTGGGCTGGGAGTAGGGCTGGGATTGAACCCGGACACTCCAATATTGGATGGGGGTGTCCCAAC